CACTCTGAGATTGTATTCATACTAACAAAATATTTAACATAATTGTCCCAAGACCCCAAGAAAGCTCTAGAAATGATCACAGATAGTAACTTTAAAGGGTGGTGGTCAGTGACTTTAAAGGGTGTATGTTTGATGAGTCCCATGCAATGTACACAACACGTGTAAAATACAGTGTTGCTTGTTTACACAGGATTTGAAAAGGATTTGCACAATGACCACTGCATTGTAACAATTATTATTTGAATTAAATTAGTGCAAATATTTAATAAAACTTTGTCCTGCCTTAATTACAAGTATTATATTATAGTGGCTACTTTCAATATAGAGCAAATTTACATTCAGTGCAACAACATATGTATTTTTTTTTTTTTATTTATTTATTTATTAACACTTACTCACTCCCCGGAGAGAGTGGTATTAGTGACATTACTTCGCGCAAATACACACCTTAATACTATTCATATCGCAAACCTCTGAACAATTTTACATATTTTTTATCTAACTTATTGATACTCTCTGAAACCACTGGACTTGTACATAATAATGTGTATATATTTACTCTCTGAAACCACTGGACATATACATAATAATGTGTATATAGACACTCTCTGAAACCACTGGACTTATACATAATAATGTGTATATATTTACTCTTTAAAACCACTGGACATAATTTCATAAGTACATGTATACAGAAATCAAACAGGAAGAAGGATCAGAGTTCGCTCGTGTTGATGGCGCGGCGGCTATGCTATTATGCCATCCATCCAATAATGAATATTTGTTATCACGTGATCGATCTGTGCAATACTTACCCTATCAGGGCACTTCTGTTTAACACAGTCTAAGCACATCTGGGCCCAATGTGTGGTACACAAACTGATTAATACTGTAAACGTATTTTACTTCCGCATCCTATCCGCACATGGAGGTCATGTGATCGCGAAACGTCAGGTGATATATGTGACCTTTGACCAAGCAGTCTACAATCCCCTAGACTAGCAAACACACTCTTGTTTTGTTATGTTCTAATGGAGTTATAAATGGCGAAAGCCGCGTTACCGCAAAAATCTTTGCCTGGCAGTCTACTCAGCTTTCGCCATTTAAACAGTCACATAATATTTTATTTTTATTTAAAAAAACACGACATGCACCCCAACATTTCTGTCTAGGTGATACGTACGTCATGACAGGTTTTTTGGGGGAGATGACCGCGCAGTCACCCGTATTCAACATAGTTGACATTGAATAAGTTCTGACTTTTACGGCAACCGAGGTGGCTCACAACATGGCATTTTATAAAATCATTTTTACAATTCATTTACATTTTGAAAACTCATTTTTATTTTATTATAATCCTTTTTTAAACACCATGTTCGGTTATGGAATCGATTTTTAAAACCCTCTTTCGTTTCTGGCCAAAGTGTAAGCCGACCGATGAAGCCAAGAACACTTTATGGACCAAAATCGCCGTGGAACCACGGATAAAGTTATAGCCTGAAGAATAACTTACGTAAAGAAGCC